GACAAGAATCTGAAAATGTAATTAGGTCATTTTGACTGAATTTGACTCAATCCTCATTTTGATATGATGGCTCACATATTTGATCTTTTATCTGTGCAGGAGCTGAAAATACATGGTAACAAATCATTTCTGACTTTGCTGCCCTGGAACATGTTTAACGTAGAAAAGTACTCACCTCAGCACAAAGCTGAGAGCGACGGTACGTCTCTTCTCTCATCTGGTCTATAGAATCAGAATCACTGAAGTAACACACTTTCCTTCTAAATSTCGGAGCCGGGCGTGCAGACACACCTGCAGGCCTGTAAGCAGCGGCAGGACTCTGACGGACAGGTTCAGGTTCTGTAAGTTCAGAACCTGGAGGTCCAGCTGYARAACTGACAGCTTTACATTTAAAAAGACTCTGACGTGCAGAAACGGCACGTTTAGGTCGAGCACGCCGCAGAAAGTCAGGGTCAGGTTCTTGAAACGCAGAACCTGGAGGTCCAGCTGCAGAACTGACAGCTCCAAATGTGTAAGCAGGAGCAGGAGGCAGGTGTGCAGACATACCTGCAGGAGGCAGGTGTGTAAACATACCTGCAGGAGGCAGGTGTGCAGACACACCTGCAGGCCTGACAGCACCAAATAAGCCTTGCTCTGCAGGAACGTAAGCAGTGGGTGTAAAGAGACTCTGAGGGACAGGTTCAGGTTCTGTAAGTACAGGACCTGGAGGTCCAGCTGCAGAACCGACAGCTCCAAATGTAAAAGRAGAACTCAGAGTTTTCTGTTCAACTCTGAGTTTGTTGGTTAAATCACGTCTTCCGTCTCCAAAGAGGTGAGAACCRAAACGTGTCTGAGGTCTCAGAGCTCGCAGTGAAAAACCTGTCGCTATGTCAGCAGAACCAGCTGCTGTGGAGACKGTCACTGCAGCTGTATTCACCAGGGCTCCAGCCTCACCAGGTGGAGGACTGGGAGGACTGGGAGGACTGGAAGGACTGGGAGAACTGGAAGGACAGGGAAGACTGTAAGGACTGGAAGAACTGGGAGAACTGGAAGGACAGGGAAGACTGTAAGGACTGGGAGGACTGGGAGGACTGGGAGGACTGGGAGGAGAGTCGAAGGCCATGTCAGGTGAACATAAAAAATAACACATTTCATCCTCGGCAGCAGGAACAGGCTGTAAGAGACAGAAACAGAAACTCTTGAGTTGAACTGGTCTCAGGGTTTGTTTACATGTTTACATCCTGACAGAGCTGTCAGTAAACAACAACAAGACTCATTAAATATTGTTCATGTAAACATACAGGAGTATGGAGGTAACTTTGTTTCTTTATTATTCAATCAAACAAAAAGCATCGTCAATCAAAATAAATAATTTCAATCAAAAAAATTTTTTCAACCAAACAAAAAGTAAATTCAATCAAAAACATAATACTTTCAACCAAAAATAATAC